AGATGGTGATATGTGTAATGATAATCATAGTTATCTCAGTAATGATTAACAATATTCATCATAGATTGCACAATTTACTGGTTAAAAACAAACAAAATTAAATACCAAAAAAATATATCTTTTGATGCAAGAAAGATCAGATGGTAGTGCATGTATTAAAAATCATCATGTGATTAACAGTAAAGGTGGGTACAAATCTTCATATCAAACTTGCATCTTTCAGATTTCAAATACCAATTTCACAAATAATTTTTAAAAAAAAAATCAGAATCAGATCTAGGTGTCAATCACCATAACACATCAAGTTGATTGATGAGTGTAAGACTGGGGCGACAGTATAATCATCATATTCTAAACAATTGAAAACAAATTAATTCCATTACAAGAAAAATATTGAAAAATTGAAATAACTTATTGAGATTATGATGATTATCCATACATGCAGTATATCTGATCTATGTACTAAAAACTGAAGACCACATGACTCAAAGAACTCAATTTTACAGGTCCAGTTATGCTAACAGGGAAAAAAAAAAGAAGAAATGCGTTTTAATGAACAACAAAATACTGGAGAAACAATTTTCTATGCTCAAACAAATCCCAAATCCCATTGACCATTGTGTTTTTACATTCAGGAAGCACAACACATCATTATGATTAACAAAATCATGATAAAGCAACGAAACTTTAGTATTTAAACACAAAAAAATAACATGTTTACTTGCAAATCAAACATATAGATGCAGATAAGATGGGTTAAAGAAGCATACCCTCAAACGATCAGACAAGATGGAAGGGGTGATCAGCTTATACTTGGGTACTTCTGAGAGAAGCTTGTCGTAGCTGGCTTGATCAAACAAGACCATGTTGTTCACCTTTTCTTTTTGTTTACCCTTGCTCCATTTCTACACACAAAACATTAATCTTTCTTAAATCAAAACTATGGGTATAGTTAAAAATGCTTTTTAAGCACAACAAAATCATAGATTTACCTTCTTCTTCTGCTTTCCTCCACCAGATTTGGCGGGCTTGGAAGATGGTGGAGCTGCCTTCTCCTTCTTTGGCGCCTAAGAAGAACAAACCAGACAAATAAATCAAAACACAGTAAGAACAGATAAAATAAGATAGATTTCAACAAAGATAGAGAATTAGAAACAATACCATGTGGTTCAGAAGATTTCTCTCGAGTTCGAGTGAAGAAGACGAAGTGCTGCGGCGCTTTAAGAGCTAAATGTGTGTGTGCAAGTGGAATTCACAAGTAGGGTTTTTCCTGGTTAAAAAGGATTACGCAAGACTTTCTACAAACCCTAGCCCAGTGGGCTACATTGGTCTTGGGCTTAAAGAGTAAAATCTCCACATTACATCCAATGGGTCTTATGGGTTGGTCTTGGGCTTGTTCAATTTATTGGGCTGATATTGTGTACAAGCCCAATATATTAATAGAATTAAGCCTATCAACATTCAACACACCTTGACACATTCGTT